GCTGAATGCAGCCTCCTGCCCCTCCACCCCGCTCTAGCCCACCGTGCTCCTCAGACCATTTTCTTGTCATCTCCACACTTATGTCTGTGCCTGTGGCTCCCTATTCCTTCAAGTCCAGATCCTCCTTTTTGGTCTTGCATGGCCGTCCTGATGGCCCCAGAAGCCTTCCTGGACTTGGCAGAGAAAGGATTGGCCTTCACCTATTCATTTTTCATGCAAGCTTTAAATTTCTAAATTTGACCATCTCAGTTTTCACTGTAGGTTTGCATGTGTCTGATGTTATGCTTGCTGTAGACATACTAGTCTGAGTTTGCATGTTAGGGCACCTTAAATGCCCCTAATTCATTAGTGAAATATGTGGGCATCTTGGCCCCAGCACAAAACTCTCAATCTTCTGATCCAAACACAATGGATTCTTCACAAGGTTTCCCCAGTTGGTCTCTGCAGTTTTTAGTCAACAGGATAGTTGTTCTACTGGGAAGCAACAGTCATGGCGACAGCCATGGGCATCTCTGCTTTTGTCTTTGGACTCTGCTGTATCCTGGAAGAGCATGAGCATGAGTGTGGCTTTGAGTGCCACCCCAACCTGTGTCTGCTCACATCATGTGTGCTTCGAGCAGCCTGGTGTGTCTACGCAGCCACACAGTACCTCTGTCCACCCCTCAAGGGCATCTGTGCTGGGGTCTGATCCATTTAGTGGGTTTGAAACTACAGCCTGGGCACAAGTGCCAGCCTGTGCTATGAGCAAATCACCTCTATAGATAACACTTTTATTTCATTCAGAAAAGTTTCTCTGGACCACCTTGCTTTTCTGTGGTCACTATGGCAATGAATGTGCTCATTCAATGGATCATGCTCAGCCTCCAGCTTCATTTTTAACTTTCTTTCATCACTGATTTCTTGATAATGCAGTGATTGGGATAAGCCTCCTTTGGTCAGGATGACTCAGTGGTGGTGTATTTTACATGCCTATCATTTGGTGGATATTTGGCTATTAAGGTTGGTGTAACTCAGGGCTATCCCCCCCTTGCCCATTACCCAACTTTTACACTCAGTACACCTCAGTGGTCTTCTGAACGTGTGGGTCCCAGGACTCTAGACAGAGGCTGGGTTGCTTTGCAGATTTCTGCAGGACAGGGAAGTTAAGTATATTATTATATTTGTGTTAGAGACTTTATTATTGCTTATATCCCTCTTGCCTATTTTTTGCCAATTCCATTTTTATAAGTTAATATTTTAAACTTAGCTTGTTTTATAATAACTAATATGGGTGCTTTTGTAGCATTTTTAGTGAATTCCATCTTATAAACGCTAATGTCTACTTTTCTGTATACTGTCATTGATCACCACTGAGTGTGTGTGTGTGTGTGTGTGTGTGTGTGTGTGTGTGTGTAAAGTTACTTAGGTCCTCAGGTGTGGATTATATGTGCACTTCAGTATCCAGCCTCAGAGGGAAAAGCTCTAATGTATCTTTTGGGGTCTGGGAAGCCAACATTTGTAGATATTTTTTAGCAGTAGCCTTAACCAGATGTGCAGTTGCCTTCAAAGAATCCTGGTGGTGAACGTGACAATGATCGTGTGCTCGCCCTGTGACTCCCAGGCGTCTGGCCCTGAGTTCCGCCAGAGCAGCGTGGAGCCGCAGCCCAATTTCTTCCTCTTTCTCATCGACACGGAGGTTTCCGCTCCGAAATCAGCCCCCTCCGGGTGCGGGCAGTCGGGCCGTGCCTCTTGCTTGGTGCTGTCCTCCCCCCTCTGACCCGTTCTCGCCTCCCTTCGCAGGTCGTTTTCGTGGCCATCCTGCTGCACAGCCACCTGGAGTGCCGGGAGCCGCTGCTCATCCCGATCCTCTCCTTGTACATGGGCGCCCTGGTGCGCTGCGCCACCCTGTGCCTGGGCTACTACCGGAACATCCACGACATCATCCCCGACCGCAGCGGGCCCGAGCTGGGGGTAGGTCCTCAGGGCCCCGGCAGCCCGCCTGTGCACGGAGTGGGATCGTGTCACCCCGCACGCTCGCTGATGTGTTGGGCCGGGGAGTGTCCACAGGACAGGCAGGTGGGGAATTCATGGCCCCTGGAGGTGGAAGCCATCTCAGGGGTCGCTCTCCAGCCTCCTCATCTCTGTGAGACTGGGGCACGGAGCAAGCAGGCCGAGGAGTTCATACAGCGTTGATGGTTTTCTTACTCTGTATTGTCAAAAGTAAGTCAGTCTACAGTCAACAAAGACGTTAACCCCGTGGTACCTATGAACTCACACTTGATTATGTTTCATTTACACCAGATATCCAGGCTTTGTTCCTACTTTCTATGTTGGCCANTACCTATGAACTCACACTTGATTATGTTTCATTTACACCAGATATCCAGGCTTTGTTCCTACTTTCTGAACACAGTTGCTCATTCAGGTACCTTCTGTGGAGTGAGGGGCATTTAGGTACCATAGGGAGACAAAGAAAATTTTAAAATATGATCTCTACTGTTAAGCAGCTTTACGTCCCATTTGGCAGGTAAGACCAGTACAGAAGCAACAGACGTGAACCCAAGACAGTACATAGATGCAGTGAGAACACATAAGGCACTGATGCCGAGAGGGGGAAGCTGGTGATGTGGCCGAGACACCTCCCCGATGGAGGCAGAGCTGGGCTGAGACGCCTCCCTGGTGGAGGCAGAGCTTAGCCCATGCTTCGAAATTTGAGTAAGATACAAGCAGGGTACAATCTTACACAAATGACCAAAGCTTCCTTTTCAGCATAGGTATTCACAGTGTCTGCTTATATGTATGCTGATCTTTCCTCTCCGTTGTATTAGACATCATTTGGATTTATTTCCATCTGGCTATAAGGCAGATGTGCGTGATTATATGTAGCCCTGAATAAATCACCACACTCCACCCCTGACCCCACCTTTGACCACATGTTACTTTTGTCGTGTCAGAACATTAATTGGATTGCTCACTTACCTCAGTCCCAGGTCAGGCCACCAATAAAACCTGACCTAGTTATTTCCGTCCCAAGGACATCCACATCAAATTGGCCTTGATGGGAGCACACTTCATCTCTTAACATGCAGCCACCAGCAAAGGGAAATGAACAAAGTGGCTGAGACGGTCCCTTGATGTAACTTATACTGTCATGAAGAATATAAACTGAAGTTAAATAGCGAAAGCCAGGCTAGAGGTAGCACACATCTCTGCTCTAGAATTCTCAACAAATCACATTTTCTTTACCATGCTTTTATTTTACTTACGCTTCTGAACCTTTCCGTGACTTCCATTAGAGCTTTGAGAATAAGGACCTCTGTAGGAAGTGTGTATACGGCCCAAATAATCAGGCACGTTTGTGAGCTGATTCCAAAATATTTTTTAAAATTATAATAATTTTTTACTTTTAAGAGTTACCCCTTGGGGGTGGGGGCAGGCAGAAGAGGGTAAACGGGATAAATGGTGACAGAGGGAGAACAGACTTTGGATGGTGAGTGTACAATACAATATACAGATGATGTATTATAGACTTGGACACTTGAAACCTGTATACTTTTATTGACCAATGTAACCCCAATAAATTCCATTTCAAAAAAAGAATAATAATAAAAAATAGTTACTTCTTACTGACATCGCTTCTAGCCCAGTCAGCTTGGTGATTTTAAACAAAAACTAATTTCCAACTTGTTTCTCAGGCCATGGCATTGTTTCTGCCTGGGTTAGAGTTGCCCTGTGTGGAAAATAGTGGTTTGGCTCCCTCAAGGCTAAATGTGTGTTTTGATTTTACAGTAGCTTGCCAACTTGTCTGAGTTCATTTTATTTTCACTGTACATTTTATTTTAATTCAGCTTGGCTTGTCTACAGATGCTTTTCTTTATATTATTTTTGAGTATAGTGAATTGACTCATGATTGACACCAAAAGGAAAGGCTTTGACTCCGAATTGTTCTTCCTGTCTGCTTCTAGAGTTTAGTGAACTTTTACCTCCATTTGTTCTTTGTTTTCACCTTTATTTATTTATTTATTTATTTATTTATTTTTTTTCCATTGCCATTTATCCCCTCTATGCCCTCTTCCACCTCCCCCTACCCCACCCCTGCAATCACCACAGTGTGATACATATCCATGAGTTCGCTCCCTTTTTTTCCCGTTTTTGCTCAATTCCTCCACACACACCCCAAGATCCGCCCCCCTCCCCACCATTCCCCAGAGCCATGTGCCTGTTCTCCTCTATGAATCTGTCTCTACTTTGCTGGGTAGTTCAGTTTGTTCATTCAGTTCCACATATGAGTGAAATCAGGTGGTACTTGTCTTTCTCTGGCTGGCTTATTTCATGCCTCTATTTCTTGACGCAGGGAGATGCAACAATAAGAAAGATGCTGAGCTTCTGGTGGCCGTTGGCTCTTATCTTGGCCACACAGAGGATCAGCAGGCCTATCGTCAATCTCTTTGTTTCCCGGGACCTTGGTGGCAGCTCTGCGGCTACAGAGGTAGGGTGATTTCTGGGGATGTGGGCACTCGTTGTCATCTTGTAAAGAATGGGGGCGGGGGAGGTGGAGAGCAAATTTGTTTCCAGTTTGTCTTGAGAGCACAAGTAATTCTGTGATAATAAATTATGTGACACATTCGCACTAGGAAGCCATGAGCATCTCATTTGGTGACTTAGAATCATTTCATTTTATATCTTTATGAGTACAAAAGAAAACATCTCATTCATGCCCCTCAATGACCATATGAGGAAACTGAGGCAAGGCCACAAAACTAGCAAGAAGCTGGGCCAGTATTAGAATCCAGATTTTCCGACTCTGGCCCAGGGGCCCCTCCATTTTTCCATGGAGTCAGCATGATGCCCCTTCACTGTAGCTGCAGAGGATAGTGGAGCAGCCCATGTGGCTGCAGAAGTGGAAATACCCAGGTTCAGGCCCGATGCTTCCATTTGGACCATCTGCTGTTTTTTCTCTGCCCTCCTGCACACACCACCCAACCCTTCGTGGCTGTATGTGCTCGTTGGCAGTCTGCCCTCCTCCAAACGGGGAGCTCACTCACGACTCAAGAAATTTACCTGGAAACTGGCAGCTACTCCAGAGAAAGAGTCAAATCCCCTTTTCCATCTTTCAAGTATGGTGTGAACAAATAGAATGACTTCATTTGTTTCCTCTGCCGCCGCCCTCTGAGAAGGAATTCTGTCTCTGGAACGGCTGATCCTTCAGGAAGGCTGGTGGCTGCTCCTCAGGGCCTCCTGTTTACACATCTCCCTGCCTGCGCTGTCAGCATGTCTCCAGCCCGGGGTCTCCTGCCAGTTTCCATGTCCTGGGAAGCAACTCATGTTGGCTTGGAAAGAGGAGCACATAAATCACAAGCAGAACGCCTTCTTTTGCCTGTTTGTTCCTGGATTTTGTGTATTGAGTCATATCATCTTGGGTGGCTTCTGGAACACAGCGCTGTTTTACTTAAATACCAGAGTCTAAGTTGCCCAGTAAAAAGTATGTGACCCCATCACCTGTGTGCTAGAACTCCATCTTCCCCTTAAAATAAACAAGGCAACCTTGTATATTAGAGCCATTTCTCAAGTGACCTCAATGGCATAGAGGCTCTGCATGTGGGGTACAGAATGGACGTTTATTGACCACCTACTTACGTGCCGGCATTTGTGCACATTCNCATAGAGGCTCTGCATGTGGGGTACAGAATGGACGTTTATTGACCACCTACTTACGTTGTCGGCATTTGTGCACATTTCGTTGACTCCCCACAACCCTGTGCAATGGGTGGGTGGTGTTATTGCCCTGGTTCCGCTGGGGGAGCAGAGGGGGAGGCCTGGCAGGTTCATGCTTCACACAGCTGGTAGGTGAGAAAGTGGAGGTTTGAAAACGGGCCCGCCTAATTCCAGCACCCTTGTTCCTTCCCCNGGAAGGCTGGTGGCTGCTCCTCAGGGCCTCCTGTTTACACATCTCCCTGCCTGCGCTGTCAGCATGTCTCCAGCCCGGGGTCTCCTGCCAGTTTCCATGTCCTGGGAAGCAGCTCATGTTGGCTTGGAAAGAGGAGCACATAAATCACAAGCAGAACGCCTTCTTTTGCCTGTTTGTTCCTGGATTTTGTGTATTGAGTCATATCATCTTGGGTGGCTTCTGGAACACAGCGCTGTTTTACTTAAATACCAGAGTCTAAGTTGCCCAGTAAAAAGTATGTGACCCCATCACCTGTGTGCTAGAACTCCATCTTCCCCTTAAAATAAACAAGGCAACCTTGTATATTAGAGCCATTTCTCAAGTGACCTCAATGGCATAGAGGCTCTGCATGTGGGGTACAGAATGGACGTTTATTGACCACCTACTTACGTGCCGGCATTTGTGCACATTCCGTTGACTCCCCACAACCCTGTGCAATGGGTGGGTGGTGTTATTGCCCTGGTTCCGCTGGGGGAGCAGAGGGGGAGGCCTGGCAGGTTCATGCTTCACACAGCTGGTAGGTGAGAAAGTGGAGGTTTGAAAACGGGCCCGCCTAATTCCAGCACCCTTGTTCCTTCCCCACAGCTGGCGTGGCTGTTATGTTAATTAAAATCGGTGAAGCCTGCTCTCCTTTGCTCCCTAGCTAGAGAGTTGGAGTCGGCCACAACGTAGGGTTAGATGCTTTTTCTTCATTTCCTTCCTTGTCATTCACAGAAGGAAAGAAACCTACTTTCATGGAAGAACATGTTTGACTTCCTGTAAGAAAAAGTTATTTCGTCTTCTTAGATTAAAAATTGGGCCATGCTGCCTGAACAGATTGGAAGTGAGTTGACTCAGAGGAGAGAGTACAAAAAGCCATCAACAAATGTGTACCATCAGTCGCTCTGAAAGACAGAATGGAGGCGTAGATAGTCCTGAGCAAAGACTATCTAGAGAGCAGAGAGGGTTCAGAAACACAATTTGAGACTCAAGAATTGGGCTGGATTAGAGGGTTTGGTTTCGCTCTATGGAAAGAGCAAAGATTCTGGAGTCTGGACCTGGGTTGAAATTTTGGCTTCTTGAACCAGCAATCTGGACTTGGACCTGTTTCTTGTTAGATTTTCATTAAAACAAGACCCATGCCCCTGGCCTCAGGTGCTCTCCCAGGGCCACAGTGGAGCACCTGCCCCTTCCTCCGCTGACCAGGCCATCCTGTGGCTAGCTGATGCTTGTCACCCATTGTAGAGTGACTTGTTAGCTACGGTCACACCTGAGACAGCTTGCTTTGTCACGTGGCAGATGGCACCTACTGGAGATGCGCTCTACGCATGCCGATGGTAACTGCTGGCTCTTCCTCTTACAGGCAGTGGCAATTCTGACAGCCACGTACCCCGTGGGTCACATGCCATATGGTTGGTTGACGGAAATCCGTGCTGTCTACCCTGCTTTTGACAAGGTGAGAACCCATGCCTTGTGATATCTGAAACACACTCTATAAATTAGTATTTGATAGACAGGGATCTCTGGTGAGGAGCACTTTGATGTTTCCCAGTCTTACCTCCCTTGGGAAGGTTAATGCGGTGTTGGGGATATCAAAGGTAATTGTGGAATATTTCCCTCAGAAAATAGCAGAGGCAACTTGAAGCTTACCTTTCTGCTGAGCCTATAATGCCTCTCCAAACTGATGTTCATGTTTAGGTTAATCCTATTGAGAAATTGTTTGCAAAAGGGAAAATATACTCTCAAAAAAATTAATACATTGGATTTTGTTTCTATGGATTGTTCTTTTAGTTAAATAATACTTACTGATGTCATAGCAGATGTGAAGGTACAGACAGGAGTGTGTGCTTGAGCTCAGAAGCTTGCGGAAGGCTTCACGTGTGGGGCACATGCACGCAGAAGTTTTCCATGCAGCTGGCTGGGGTCCATGCTGGTCTGGGTGCAGCAGACTCATTGCAGCTGAAGGTCTCTGCTGACAGCAGCTCTGTGGGCCTGCTGCTGCTGACACAGCCCAGGGAGGCACTTAACCCTTTGGATATGTAGCCTTTGGCTGAGTCAAGACCATCCTATAAATGTCTGTTTCATTAAGCTTAATTATTTGAACCTAAAACTTTTTACCCTAAAACAAATGTCTAGCAAAACAGACCCCTAAAAAGACAGTGTGCAAAGCTTTAAAATAAAAGTAGGCAAGGAGCACTGTTCCTGATACTCTTAATACTCTTGAATTTCTACAGAACTGGCACAGAGCCATTGCCAATGTCGTTTTATCTTCTTTTTTTAATCTATTTTCAAATTACAGTTAAAATACAATGTTATAATACTTTTGGGTGTGCCCCATAGTGATTAGACATTTGTATACCTTAAGAAGTGTTCACCAATATCAATTTATCTTATCCCAGCAAGAGCCCTGCGAAGCAAGGAGAGGAAGCCTCTTTGCCAGGGTCTCCAGCAGATCACCTGCCTCTATTCCCACACCCATAATCACCCTTGAATAGCAACTCACCTCAAAACACTCCTTGGATTGCCGCCGCCACACAGCCTCACGAGAGATAGGGCAGTGGGGGTGTTGCCCGGAACTCTTTACCAGGCATGGAGTTCCCTCAGTAGACCATTGGTTGGACCCTCCACCTAGTGCAAACATTCTTTGCAACGTCAGGATGCAGGGCATCTCTTAGAAAATGCATTTGATTTCTGCTTCCCAGGCCTTTGAGTGTGGACTTCAGAGGCATGAGTCACTCGCGGGAGAAAGCGGACAGTCTGTGTTTAAGTGGGTTTCACCCAGTCTAGAAATCACTGTTTTCATTTCAAGGAACATGTGTATACAAGTAAATCCTAGAAAACCAAAGTGGACCTAAGTCGTCTTGCTAAATTTCTAGCTCTTGGAAAATAAGATTATATAATAAAGCTTGATGAGAATAGCAGGTATTGAAGTGTTAGAACCTCTTAGCCTTGAAAGTCTCATCTGAAATTGTTTTCGACTCCCTTGAAATAATAAAACTTAACAATACACTATACAGTTTCGCTAGGAGCATCCAAGAACAACATTGTTTTATTCATGATCACAATGGTTAGGCGCTATGAGAAAATTTCTTTAACGAGCGTACCTCTAGCTAGAAGCTGGAGGTACTTGCTCAGAACCCTTTTTGAAACCCCACCCATTGTTTCCAGGCGTTCCACTGAGCAGCCCCAGCCATTCGTGGGAGTGCATCTATTCACCCGATCTCAGACACCTCTGTGTGGACTTCCAGAATTCGCCACACTGACAGTTGAAATCCTTAGCCTCTTTGTGGGTTGCAGAATAAGAGATTTAAATTTTCTCATGTAACTTCTGATGGTTCTAGCTCAATATTGAACTGGGAGAGTTTTCTCCTTGCATGCATTCTCTCTAATGTTCAGTTATCATCTGCCAAAGAGCATGTTTCTGAGCAGATTGGGCAAACAAAACAAAGCACAGATACCAATCTAATGATACATGCTCATTTATTCTAACTCTGTGTGCAGAAATATTAGCTACTTTAAAAATAAAAGTGCCCCTGAAGGAGCCGTGGCACGTCACTGTGACCACAGCAACATGTGCCTAATTCTTCCCAGGGCCACTTTCTTGCTCAGCCCACCAGGCACCACTCCCACAGATCCCTGGGGTGGGTGGATATGTACGGATGTCCTACCCACTGTGATTTGCACTTTGCCAGGGCAGCAGTCTCTCATTCAGAAAAGCAGATACGCTTTAGAGACTGGAAATAAGACAATGTCAGTTCATCCACTGTCTGTGCTGGTGGCGTCTGTAAGGGGAAGGGATTGGAGAGATTGCCTTAGCCTCTGAAGTCAAGGAAGCATCAATAGCTCTTTTCCAAGTGGAACCTGTAATATCTCTGCATGTATGTCTTTCATCAGGCTGGATGCGGAGTATGTTTGCATTAGTCTGCTCTGGGACTAATTGGATCCCTAACAAGGCAAGAATTATTCTTCTCTGCTGGTTTCCAGGCACTCGTTTGGACTGGGTGATGGGCATGCTTAGCAGTGGCACTGGGGAGGCCTCAGCAAGGCTCAGATTCAGGAATGTGTAATTAAACAGCTGAGCCATCTGCATTATTTACTTAAAATTCATTTTAACAAAGGATTTTGAGCACTGTTTATACTCAGGAAAGATTGTGCTGAGTTGCAGGAGCTAAAGAGATGGGTGGGATACACAGCCCTTTATCTCGGAGAGCGAGCCTACACCTCACGGGGCTTTGACACAAGCCCCTGAGTACAGACCAGGATGCCAGATCTGACCTCCGTGGTCTGCACCATAGGAAGAGGCCAGAGGCCCCTAAAAGATTAGAGAGGCTTTAAGGATCCTTGGGCTGTGACGATGATGAGCCTTGAATAAAGGGGTGTGTTTGACAAGATCCAACAAGAGAAGGAGGAACAGAAGTACAGAAACCTGGAAGCACGTGGTGTGTTAGAGGAAGAGCAGGAGGTTCCCTTTGGGATTCAGGTTGAAAAGTCACGGCAGGGAAGTGAGTGTGGGTCAGGGCAAGCAGGGCCTTGAATGGTCAGTCCAGCTTACAACCCATTTGGTGGGGAGGAAGGGCCAAAGGTCACAGAGCAGGGCCATGGCATGGCATTCAGGTAGATGCCCACAGTGGCCAGGAAGGGGCACACAGGGCCGAAGCCAGGGGCTAGCTAGGTGGGCACCCAGCACCAAGGGGCGGGGACTGATTCAGGAGACACCGCCCGGTGTTTGGTCTGTTACTCCCTCTGGTTACTGTTCACGTCCGGAAACCTAATAGCTTTCTGAAGGAGAGACTCAAAGTGACAGCCATTTTCCAAGCTGTCACCTGAAATCTATACTTTAGACACATCAAATAGAACACAAATGAGATGCTCTTTAAGATGCATGTGTGGTCAATCAAAGATGGCCTGGAGCCTGGTCACCATTGTCTCTTTCTCCCCCCTAGAATAACCCCAGCAATAAGCTGGTGACCACGAGCAGCACGGTCACAGCTGCCCACATCAAGAGGTTCACGTTCGTGTGCATGGCCCTGTCGCTCACGGTAAGGAGAGAGACCCCCACCCCGTTTTGGTTTTTGGAAAAGGAGAAGTGGTTATTTTAAAGGGAGACATCGTGTATTCCATAATGTGACGTTATGCTGGATGAATTAACATCTTTGAAACATTTCATCCCAAAATATGAACGATTGTTGTTTGAGGAAGTCATTGAATCCGGGAACAAAGGGTCGTCGGTGTTTCTTGGGACTTCTTATGTGCTGAGGAAAGGCAGACTTTGCCTTTAATCGTACTCTTGTCTTGCTGCATAATTTCCAGCCCGTTTTTAAGCATCCAGAGTCAACCGTATTACCATCCGTGCCCGTTTTCCGAGCGTAATTGGTGATATTTTGATTTCCCTGGTAAATTTCCTAATTACGTTGATGTTGATGTATCCTGCTTATTTGGTCTCCGTTCCACACGTATTGATGGAGCACCTACTGCATCCCAAGTCTGTGCCCTCTTCCCAGACACAGCTGTGAGCAGGCGTGGGTCACACAGCCTTAAACACGCAGCCGCACATGGTTCTTCAGGCCCGCGGCAGTCCAGAGGTAGAACATAGTGTTCCAAAACACGGAGAAAATACGCGCGCTGTAATCCAACGCACATGGTACATAATTTACGGTTGTTTATGACACCAACAGTAGCAAAAAACCAAAAACAAACACATACTATTTATAAACAAGCTTATACTGTGGACTGTGCCCTTTGGATGGACACGAGAAGCGGAGCAAAAGAAACGCAGGCCTTTGTACTGTTCGGCTTTCCCTTGTGGTGGTGGTCGCGTTGCCTGTTGAGTCCTGCAGGCATTCCCTGTTTATCTAGCGCGTGAGCATCTTGCTGGAATGCCTGTGTGCAGTTCTCATCGTAGGTGACTGATAACGGGACCTAAGGCAGTGAGAGGTGTTCGGTTGTGCTGGCGACAGGGACACAGTAACTGTAGCCCTTCTTACCATCATCACAGAACCGTTTAGCTGGATGAATCATGGCAGTGGGCCTTTAAAATCAAGCCCTACATATGTTTTAAACCATTAATGAATCTTTTATTCAAAGTCCACAACTCAATGTTGGATCTATTGATCCAACACTTGAATGGGTTGTAACAAGGGCAACACAGGACAAAGAGCCCATCGCATAACACCTCTGACAGCCGATGACCTTGCGTTCTCAGCCACCCATCACTCCAACCCAGCCCCTCCCAGCTATCTGTCTCCCATGGAACTGGGGGAGGGGGTGGGGTGTCAGAAATGTATTCCAGTGCCACCTGACCAGAGGACTTTCTGTTTGAGTCAGGACAGGTTACCCCATGCAACCCAGCTCCCCTGTTTGCATTATTTCTCTCTATGCTTTGCAAGTTTTTCCATAATTCTGTAACATATTAGAAAAACTCTGAACAACTGTGAATCTGTTTAAGAGTATTTTAGGAAAAACAGAGAAGTTTTCTGTTCCGGAAACAGACCTCAGCGTTTGGAGACCGTGTTAAATGACTAGGAGTCAAAATTGAGTTGACTGGGATGCCAGGTTCTGTGACTTGGACCTCATAGGAAACTGGAAGCTCTGGGTTGTTGCTGGCTCTGCTACTGAGCATGACCTCCCCTGTCTCCTTTCCTTCTATCAAATCATCTTCCCACTCCTACAGTTGAGTCTGATGGAGAACTTGACCAGATGGTTTAAGGATATTCCATCTCTTCTTCAGCTCTAAAACAAGTACAGGTTTATTTTGACATGACTACTACCTAAGATCTAGAAAAATGTTTTGGTTTCCCATGTAGAGGCTTTATTTATTTAGTTATTCTAATGCTACCATCTGTAACTGGAAGTATCCGAGGGTAGATTTCCACCATAAAAATAGACACTGAGAATCCTCTGTTGGAAAGGACCTTGGCTGTAAACTAGTCAAGACCCATCATATTTTAGGGAAAGAAAGGGCTCAGAGAGGGTGAGTGACTTGCCAGTGCACCAGTTAGAAGCCAGCCTTGCAGGCTGACTCCAGGGCCCACTCCTCTGAACCATGCTCAGGCTCAGCGAGCAGGAACAGATATGTGGCCAGAGGCGCTGGTCCAGGCACCTGCTGCCATGCCTGAAACGGAGCTTTTGTCAACACTAAGAACAGTAGGATTTGAGTTTGCAGCTTATGAAGTGTCTCACATACATTATTCTTATAATGATTCAATCAGTTGGTCCAACATCTTGGCTAAAGGAATTGTGATTAAAAAATGTGAGGCTTTTCCCCCCAAATTAAATGTTAAGCTGTCACTATACTGTGTATATACATTTTTATGGCACTTACCATATTTATTCCTTACATCTATTTCTCCTCCAAGGCTGCGAGCTTCCTGAAGTGTAGGGTCTGCGACGTAGTCACCTTTTATCTGCAGGACCCAGCCCCCTGCCTGACATAGAAGGTGCACACACAGTAAAAGGTTAATAAACACGCGAGTCCATCAATACTAAACTGTGAGATAAAGATCAGAAAGGCATCGATGGCATCCTTGTGAGCGACAGTCCCCTTATTTATACTCAGTTTATCCTATTTTTAAAGTTTTAAGAGGCTCTTTATTCTCGAGTCTCTTTTCTTTTTTAATTTTAAAACTTCTTAGTGTCAGGAAATGAACATAGCAGAGGTCGCTGAGACTCCAGAGTGGCACACTTCATGTTTGTTCCAGGGGACAATATTTCATACTGAGGACAAGCTTTCTGAAGGTCCCACAGCTTTCCATGCATCTTCTAGGACTCCTGCACTGTCAGGCTCTGTTCCCTGGGTCTCTGAGAAGAGCTCACCCCATGGGTCCTGCAGACACTCAAAGGGAAGTGCGTACTGTCCTGGACGAAAATCCATCTTCCCGTCAGAACAGGTGCACTCTTAGGCCCTGACATCGTGGGTTCGACCTCTCCCTTTGCCTGTGAAAACATGTGGCTGCCACTTTCAACAGTTAGTGTGTCAGCATGCTACAATACACGCTTTTCCCCTAGCATAGAATTCCTATTTAAATTTAGGGTATTTCCTTCCCCAAAAGTGGGCTCTTCCCTCATATTCTTTCTTATCCAGGATCTTCTTTTGAACCACGGGGCTTCAAGAAAAGCAACAAATGTCCTCTCCCCACTTGGAAGGGGAGGTGGATTTAGGAGTATAGACTAGAAAAGTAACATTTTCCTCTTAGCATCTTTCCTTCACTGCTCCCAGCAGCCTTTAGGACTGCGGGGCAAAGCACTTAGTGATTGATGTCCCAGATAACCTGAGGAGTGTTAGGGTTAGAGTTGGGGTTGGGGTTAGGGTTGGGGTTGGGGTTAGGGTTAGGGTTGGGGTTAGGGTTAGAGTTGGGGTTGGGGTTAGGGTTTGGGTTGGGGTTAGGGTTGGGGTTAGGGTTGGAGTTACGGTTAGGATTGGGGTTGGGGTTAGGATTGGGGTTGGGGTGGCATTAGGATTAGGTTTAGGGTTAGGTGGTGGTGGTGGTGGTGGTGGTGGTGTGTGTGTTGCTGTCACTTAAGACAGAGAGTTAAGGGAGCCTGCCTGTATGCCATCAAACTACAGTGCTTCCCACAGGAGGGTGCAAGGTCTGACTTAGGGTGGTGGGCACAGTGCCATATACAGATCCTGTAACATAGAAATCCACACCTGAAACCTATATGATCTGATTAACCAATGTCATCTCAATATATTTAATAGAAACATTTCTTTAAAAGGTTAAAATAGGCTTTCACTCTGGATCTTTCTGAGCTTTGCTTTTTGATGTCAGCGGGTAGTAAAAAGGGAAAGTGTGAATTTGTGCTCAAACCTGAATCTTCTACTCTATTTTTATGGGTTGAATTGTGTCCACCAAAAATTCCTGTTGAAGCCCTAATTCGCAGTACCTCGGAATGTGGCCTTGTTTGGAAATAGGGTTAAGGTGAGATCCTGGTGGGTAAGGTGGTCCCCTCACTCAATATGACTGGTGTTCGTATAGAAGGGGGCATTTGGACATGTGAAGATTAGGGTTATGTTACCAGAAGCCAGGACATGCCTGGCACAGATCCTTCCCTGGTGCCTGCAGAGGGAGCGTGGCCCTGCCCACATCCCCACAACTGTGAGGCAATACTACCAGTTGTTTTAACCACTGTTGTGTGGCACTTCATTATAGTAGCCCTAGCAAACTCATACACTGATGTTTGGGATCTTCTTGCCATTTACAGTGACATAGATTGATTAACCAGACATAACTATTCGAGTGACTTATTTCCTTTTTAAATTCTCCATTTAGTGATTCCAAAAGACATCTCTGTTACTTTATTCCATATTCTCCATGAAATACTCTGAGCAGAGGATTTGCTTAGAAATGTTCTTCACGTGAATTATGTCTTTGTGAATGGCTTTGGGGGAGAGGGGTGTAATTGGCATCATAGCACCCACTAGAAGTACCTGTACTAAATTTAAGTTAATTTGCTTTTTTTCTGCTTTCCATTATTTGAATATTATAGTGCACCTCAACCAGGCCCTTGCAGAATCCACTGTTAACATTAACACTGAAAATCCAAAACATGTCCCCAATTTTCAGGGAACAATTTGGCAGCTGGCAGTCACAAACTGTTGTGTCATGAAAATGGCAAAGTAACTCAGCGGGGATTAGCCCATAGACGTCCAGGAATTTTATTTTGTGACTCTCTATGGCTTTTAAAAACAAAAATCATTTTTATTAGTCTCAGCTTAAAGACAGAACCAGTCTAGGGAGCACTTTTCTTCTTACCCAGGGGGCACGTTACAGTGTGTAGAACCCACACCTCAGCTGGATCAGATGCGTAGTCCAGGCCCTTCTGACAATAATCACAATAAGTCGTGGGGGACCAGACATGGCTGTGGTGCTTGTGGCGCCTGAGTTTCCAATTTCAGCACCTGCTCACACCCCCTAAGGGGCGTTGGGCTCTGAACAGGAGCACATTCCTGGTGTCCCGAAGCTCTCTGTGTCTTATTGATTTACATCAGTTCCGCATATGGGGATTCAGCAAAGCCCAAGTCAAACATTTCAAAATAGTT